ATCATCCCAAACAGCTGACTCTGGAAATGGAACCTCACCAGGGTGACTTGGTCATTTATGCACTTGTTTGCACTACAAAAGGAAAAGCGAAAAGCCTGTTTTCTTTCTGATACTCAAGAAAATTTTGCATGTGTGTGGATTTGGAGGACTAGTCCAAGTAGAGGAGTTCATATCCAAGCTGAGGCCACCAGTCACACTGGGGAGGTTGTTGACAAGTAGCCCAGATTTTGCAATTTATCCCAAAGGGTAAATTGATTGTTCATTAAACAGAAGCTTCATCAAATGATGCTATGATTTGGTTTACATATGAAAAGCTATATTCTTTACTTAACATTCACAAGTTGCTTATGGATTAATTAGCCCATCTGCCACAACAAATGTATTCATACTTTTTTTGCATTAATTGCTGAAAAGTTGATCTTTTTCTCCTATTCACTTCTCTCTATCAGTAAAATGGAAAATAATTTTTTAGAAACAAGACACTTTTTTCATAGCAGTAAAAATGTGTATATTTTTCAACTTATCAACTAAGTTGATAAAGTAAGTGCAGGGGTGAGAGGAAGACCGTCTCTGGAAATGGCTTCCCATGATTAGTTCTTCTTTTAGTCACTTATCATCCATTTATTTGTTAGCTTATCTGAATATCTTAGAAGTGCTTCAAGTTTGGCATGATTAAGGCTACTCTTTCCACTTGCTTCCAATCCCAAATCCAGTCTTTAATGAGGATAACCACGTCTCTATTTCTCCTCAACTTCTATCATTGGCATCTTCCTTTCCTCTTTTATGCTGTTACCAATTCTGATAACCTCTTTATCAATAATGTGCCTGATTTCTCATTTACCTCAAATCAGGTAACTTAATCACCATTTCAGAGTCCAGTCACCCCACTCTGGGGCCACAAGCCTCTTATCAAACAGCAATCCCATGAGTCTTTTCAGTTATACTCTAGTTGCTAGGTGGCTTTAGAACCAAATCAGTTTTGGCCACAGTTCTCAAAAAGCCAGATGTTAGAGTAATAGAGGGAATTATCTCATATGCTTCTCTTGTTTATTATGATGCTCTAACCTCTCACTCATTCCATTTAGCAACCACTTTAGAAAAAGGTCTTGTTCTCTACACCCTGCTTAAATCAAATCACCAGGCTTCTTGAAACCCTTCCACATGTACCCTTCAAAGCACACCCCATAATACATTGGTATATCTTTTTTAATTTTCAAATTACCTTTCATTTCCTCCCATGGATTTTGCTCCCAACAGTCTTCATCCAGTTTTTTTCTCCTGAAAATCAACTTCCAGCACTTCTGCTTCCTTCTGTTTACTAGGCACCTAGAACAGTTTGGATCGACACTCTTAACTACCTGTATTAACTGGAACACATTTAATAGACGGCTTCTCCTTCTCCAGTTTCATTTCACATATGTTGTCCATACAAAACCAAGACTGAGGCAGAGAGGAAGGAAGAGGGAAGGAGGAGTAAAGGGAGGGATGGAGAGAATATGATGGAAAATAAATAGAATGATAAGGATATGGCACCATGAAATACCAAATACCTCGTTGGTTTAGGATCTAACCATTTGGAAAAAAACACAAAGTTTTGCTATTCATTTATTTGTTAGTTTACTACAGAATTTTTCTATAGGTTTAAAACCTCAGGTATTCTTCCAACATTATTCTTCTCCCTATCTGAAACTGATGATAACTGAGCAAAGCAACTGCCAGAAAATCCCAATTAAAGCTAATCTTTTTTCTGTTGTGAAAGGCATAATTTATAAAAGGGTGACCTTTTGGTAGGCTAACAGTATGTTGATGAACTTCAAGTGAAGTGAAAAAAAAAAGTGTTTTGTATCATCAGTGCTTACATTTTCTAAGGGATCATATGGGGCAGCAGAGCCTTTAAAGGTCATAGACTTCTTTACTTCGAGAGATATTAAACAGCTTATGAAAATAGAGGTCAGCTGCATGATAACTGGAAGAAAAGAGCGTTCCCAATGGGGAAGTAAGATACTTCAGATTATATTGACTGTCCTTTTTTAAGACTGTATTTGATTATCTTAAAGGAAAAAAAAAGAAATTTGCATATAAATGCCATGATTGTAAATGAATGAATGTACAGTTCTTAGAATCAATAGCTATTGATCTTGCTGTATGAAAGCTAACATCTGCATATACTAAGCATTGCAATAAGAACTAATAATTTCACAGCCTAAAATACTCTCCAGCAATTTTTATATTTCTGCAGAAATTTTTATACTTTTCTGAACTTTGCAAAAATAATCTTATTTACCTTATTGGAACATAAAATAAATAATCATTATCAGTAAGGAACTCACTTTTTAAAAATTATTCTTGCTTTGAAGATCACTAAAACAAATAAGAAACAAAGGAATATCAAGACTAGATTGTAGACAAGGTGCTGAGCCACCTTGGGGAAGAAATAGAATAATGGCATTTGTCTGTTCGTTATTTAATGACACACAATTTATGCATTAGTAGGATTTAATGTATGACTGGAAGAAACCATGGCCACAAATTATTTTCCCTTTACCCTCAGATATTGCTTGAAGTTCCTTCAAAAAGGGCTCTGTTGGGCTTCCCTGGTGGCGCAGTGGTTGAGGGTCCGCCTGCCGATGCAGGGGACGCGGGTTCATACCCGGGTCCGGGAAGATCCCACATGCCACAGAGCGTCTGGGCCCGTGAGCCATGGCCGCTGAGCCTGCGCATCCGGAGCCTGTGCTCCACAACGGGAGAGGCCACAACAGTGAGAGGCCTGCGTAGCGCAAAAAAAAAAAAAAAGAAAACAGGGCTCTGTCTTCTTTCATTCTGCCATTGTTAAAAGAGTTACTTCAGATGCAAGGTTTATAGGAAAAGGTAACATTATTGACATAATTCCAGTAGATTTTAAATAGTTGATAACAGATTGTGACCAGGAGTTCTTTTCAGAGAAGGAAGGGTATGAAATCTTGTACGAGTAAATATTCACTAAGTTAAAGGGACACCATGAAGCAGGAAACGTGTGGACAAAAGGGCAATTCTTCCCTAACACATAGATACTGACAGAGCAGTATTATCTACCACTGGATCATCTTCCATAACCCTGGAATTTATAAATACTGACCACAATATGAGACACAGAGGATGACGCTATTCATCATGAGAGGCCAGATTTTAGGTTGTGCTTTTCCATCCTGGAACTTCTCTTATCATTTGCTGACTGCAGGTCCTCAGGAGTGGTGGCCTCAGCCCAGAGTGCCTGTCATCCAACAGCAGCTCAAGGAGTGAATGCTGGTCAGTAGGTGTCCCGCGTTCACATCCTCCTGTATGCCCAAAGTCATCAAGCCGTTCCAAGGTTGTGCCAGAGAAAACTCAGTGGGAATGTTTAAGTTTAGTTCGTGGAGAAAAGAATGAGAGAGTAAATGCACAGATTAGTGAGTGTGCACTTTGGTAGGTACACACCCAAATCTCAAATTGATGTTTCTTACTAGTTATTCGAGAACTGTACTGGGTCATATGGTGCTGGTGAGGAAACTTAATTGCTCAATTTCTGAAGGCACATTAACTCTTTCAGGGTCGATTGAGCAAATTAGCTCCTCCAGGTCATTAAGCCCATCTCTACATGACATGATGATTTCTACCTGGCATTGTATCATTTACCCCCAAATGCCCCACGTTTGCTTTGAGCATGCACATGTTCTTTGTCTACTCAGGGAGAGAAAATGTGCTCATTTGAATGTCAGCCAATCGCTCTCTGGCTGCAACTCAGTGATTCCCTTTGATTCTTTTGAAGGCACCCAGGGATCTCTAAGATTTACTGGAGCATAGCAGTTATCAGAGCCTCGCCAACAGGCGGATAGTTTAGTTGTCTAGAAATGGTATAATTTCAGGGGTTTTGAGCACAGTACTGTACTCCCAAGTATGTCTTCCTATTTGCAAAAGCCAATATTATTGATTCATTGCAGGTGGGAGTTGTGAAGTTCTTTCAGGATTCTGTAGTCCTTTATGAAAACACAACTTCCACTAAGAGGCTGTGCTATCAGGACCCATTTTAGGGGAATAAATTGATGACAATTTGAGAGCAGTCTCTATACTGTCTCTCAAGAGGGTGATCAGAAAAGAGTGTGGTTGTTTTGGGTGCCACAAATGTGGGGGAACATCAATGGTCCTACATAAGCAGGTGTGGGAGAGTATCATCACTAAAAGAATAATTTTTATCTCCCAAATGCCAATGGTTGGCCCAACTGAGAAGCAGTGATGGAGGGCAAAGACAAACATCACCTCTTCCTCTGTTATGTCCAGGGCTACACTGGAGAGTCATAAACTGGTATAAATGGAAACAGGCAAGGAGGCAAGGGACATGGTATGCTCACTCAGAGGTGTTTTAGAGCAGTGCTACTTTCTTGTGCATATAAATCAGCTGGAATCTTGTTGAAATGCCAGTTCTCATTTAGTAGGTCTGGGATAGGGCCAGGGATTCCGTATTTCTAATCTCTTATGCTGCTGGCCTATGGACCACACTTTGAATAGCAAGGATTTAGGATAATATGCACATGAGCAATAATCTGGTCTTGGATTAAATGATGAATATGAAAGAAATTTGACAATATCCCCCCAAATTCGATTTCAAGTCAGTAAGACTGATTAAATATTGAAAATACCACCAAGAGATTGATAGATCATTTTTTAAAAAGGATATACTTAACATTTCTACCTAGCTGAAGATTTTGAACATTTGCTGATGTTTGTGTGCTGTTTAAGTTTTGAAATCTTTACTAATAATTCTGATGATGTGCTTGCTAAAGGTATAAGAAATAACTGTTTTCCTAGTCTCCTTCACTTTCTCCTGCTGATGAAGAGTTCAATAAATGTCAATGTCTGATTAAATATTCCTTCACAAAATTCTTAGCAGAGCTGGTTTAAGCCTCCCCTGCCCACCTTTTTTTAATCTATCATGACAACCTCTCTGTTCTTTCCTCTGAGATGAACAACGTCCTTTTATCTTGCAGGTCAATGGGAAGGATCTCTCAAAGGCCACCCATGAAGAGGCAGTGGAAGCTTTTCGAAATGCCAAGGAGCCCATTGTGGTCCAGGTGCTAAGGCGAACACCTCTCAGTAAACCAGCCTATGGGACGGCCCCAGAAGTGCGGCTCGTGAACGCCAGCACCCAGACGGACATCACCTTTGAACATATCATGGCCCTGGCCAAACTTAGGCCACCCACCCCTCCAGTGCCCGACATCTGTCCATTTCTGCTCTCAGACAGGTATTTTTCTGTCATTTCTCCCAAAGCCCTATTTGTTGTCATTCGTCATTGAAAGTAGGTGTTGGGAAGAAACAGTCACTGTAGCAAGTTGACAATTATGGAGACAAGCTCTCAGTTCTGTTTGGAAAGTGTCTGTAACTGTGTCTCCATCCAATTAGTTCTCAGCTGTCCTGCTTACTTTTCCTGACCTGCACGGTTGTTTCAGCTCAGGAATCATACTTGCTGAGATGCTGAGTGAAAAAGTCTGGCTCTGATTAGTTCATCTTCATATTTCCAGTCAACACAAGCCTCACACAGCTCATGAGAACTGGTCAGGGAAACAGCTTTTCTCACCGAAGCTGCCAAAAACCTTGTTAAGACAGACCCAGAAGTGGCATGTTGGCACTATATTCTTCTCTGTGTGTCGCCTCTCTCTTTCTCTTTTGCTTTTCTCTTCTTTAAAGGAGAAGCTAGGAAATTTATTAAAGTGCAATTCTCCAAATGAAGCAATTACCTGATATATTGAGACGTGAACCAAAGATCCTGGCTGTCCAAGAAGAAGTATAGAGCTACAAAATAAGGAATTATTAAAGGAATATTTCTTTTCAATTTTTACCTGAGTTAAAGGCAGTTAGAGATAGTTTATTCAAATAATGCTATTATTCAAAGCTTGCAGCTTTGGAAGTTTGTTTTGCTCCACACACTTTGTTCTGTGAACTTTTAAGCAAATATTCAAACATTATTGAGAGCTTGATTTGTAAGAGCAGTAGTCTCTTTAGCCTGCATTTTCATTGCCTACTGCAATCCATGCTCCATTTAGTAAAAGGTACACTTGGTCCTGACACCCGCCTGCCCTTTAGTGGCTTCTGTTAAGTCCAACTCAGTGGGTCACACGTGTACATTAGAATCACCTGGGAACTTTGAAAAGCAGTATCAATGCAATGCCTAGATCAATCCCACCTCAGGCCAAAACCCAGGCATTAGAATTTTTCAGAAATTTCCCTAGGCAATTTTAATGTGCAGCCATGCTTTGGAAACCACTTTTTGAAACTTCAAGTCCCAGGAGGGCAGGGGCTCTGTTTGTCTGACCTACGATTCTAGTCATCTATCCCTTACTTATTAAATAGCCCCTTGTGTCAGGTACTGGAACTAGGTACTGGGCATAAAACTGGGAACAAAAGATAAAGCCACTGCCTCCTGGAGCTTATATTCTACAGTGGAGATGAAAAATACACAAGCAAACAAATATACAATATTCATTAGTAGAGTGTAACCCAGAGTAGCCATCCAATAAATACTTTCTTGAATGAATAATAGCTAACATTTATTAGCTAACTTAACATGTTTTAGGGAATATTCCAAGTGTTTTACAATTATTAATTCATTTACTCCTCATAAAAACATTCTGAGGGAGTACATTATATTATTACCATCCCCATGTCACAGATGAGGAAGCAAATGTTAAGTAATCGGCAAGGTCATACAGCAAGGAAGCGACAGGGCCAGGCTCCTGGGCCCAAGAGGTCTGACTCCACTGCCCACTCCCTTAACCAGTACGCTGTGTCCTCTTCCCAAGTCCTGCAGATCATAGCTGAAAGGTAACCTCTTCTAGCAGACTTCTTAGGACTGTAGTAGGTACTCTCATAGTGTCTCTATTTTTCCCTTAATTATCTCACTATATTAAAATTCCCACTTTGCTGCTCTACCCAATTAAAAAGACACCAACCGATTTCCAGCCATTGGCATAGGGCCTGGCATCTGGTAGATACTTGGTAAATGTTTACTGAATTAATAAGGTGTTCTTCACAGCAGGGCTTCCTACTTACTAAGTCAAAGACCAGGGAAACACATCAGATGCCCCAAACAGCAGGCTCTGATGTTTTACCAGCCCAAATGGGCTTCTCAACAGGGAACTCTCCTTACTATGTAACAACCTAAATGGGAAAAGAATTTGAAAAAGAATACATGTATATTTATAATTGAATCACTTTGCTGTACACCTGAAACTAACACAACATTGTTAATCAACTACACTCCAATATAAAATAAAAAGTTTAAAAAAAAGCCAGTCCAGCTTTAAGCTAGGAGGGTTCACCTGTTAGACCAGCAAGCAAGATACTAACTGTACTGCTTTTGCTATTTGCGTGAAAATCAGAGAATATTAGAGTATAGTGAGAAGAAGCTGGTAGAATATTTACACTGACTGTGTGAGGGCACCAGGATGGATCTCTCTGGCATTTCAGCTAGTAATGAGGGGACTAATTTATGCTACTAACTCCAGTTTGTTCATAATGTCCAAAATGGCTGGGCTTAGAGGGCTCACCTGAAACCAACTTGGTTAATTTCACTTAGGCCTTTTCACTGACTTGGAAATACTTATGGAGGACCTCATGCCCTTTGCTGTTCAACTGTGCTTAGCTTTCATATTGTATAATGTATAGTGTCTCTATCATGGCATATAGCAATTTGAAAGGAAGGACTTCTATAAATTATGAAAACCATTTCCCCAAAGTTAAAGGATACGTAGAAGTAATATACAATGCCTTGGGTCCTCTGCATTCCCTTCACTCCATCAGTTCTCTTTGTCCTGAGAAATTTTCTAAAGGGATTATGCAAATCTGTGGCTTATAGGAGTTTCCAGTGAGTTATCACCATGAACGTTCTTTAATATTTGTGGACATGCCTTTTATCAAAGAGGGAAAGATGTGGGTTATGAGGGAGAAAGAGGAAGGAAATCTTGAGAAATGGGGGCAATGTGAGTACGATTTACAATCTGAAAAACACAGTGCCCACCCTACCTGCACATCCACGGGTTCTGCATCCAAGGATTCAACCAACCTCAGATTCGATTTTTTTGGGGGGGAGGGGGGTACAGATAACAACTTTATTTGTCCATGCCAGGATTAAGTTGCTTAACAGAGAGACAGAGGGTGGTGGGAGGCTGGCATACACAGCACCATTTACGTCGAGGAGGCAGAGCATCACTCCTACCACGGTACCACGGCCTTCATCCTCCTTCCTCCTGAAGTGCCCCTCGCAGTCAGCAGGCCCCTGCCCCACACTCACCAGAATCACGTGCTACCGTACTTCTTCCCCCCACTGTCCCAGTACAGAGCCCACCACATCTGGAAATGTCTGTCTTTACATTCATCTATCCACTGGGTCGTCTCATGGCTGCTGCGAGGTAGCTGGGATAGCGTCAAGGTTGGAAATAAAACTAAAAATTTGATTTTTTGATCCACGGTTGGTTGAATACTCGGATGAAGAACCCAAGGACACAGAGGTCCGACTGCGCGTTTAAAATCAGACTTCAGAACCGGTTTGAGGCTGTAATTAGGAAATTGGAAGTACTTTGTTATAAAATACCCACCTTCGGGTAGACTTCAGTCTCAAATGCCACACACCGATGCATGGATCAAGTCCATTCGATGGAATGGAAGGAGGCCAGAGTATCGATATAGCACCACGGCGGGGGGGAGGTCGCACATCTGCCCCTTCACAGAATGAAGCTTGACCCTGAGCCATTATCTTAGTATTCTCTCAGAAAATCAAATTGATGGACTTCATATAGGGGGAGAAAGAAAACAGTTGCTCTTTCTGCGGTGTAATTCGTTTAAAGGCTAGATCACTAAAGGTCTTATTGGCGAGCGGTGAAAACTAAAGTGAAATTCTAAAATTAGTTTTAATCTTGGGAACAACCCTTTTGATCCATTCCTATCATATTGCTACATTCCCCATAGCTGCCATTCTCTTCATCCGATGGAGCATGAATTTTATGAGGACGATGAGTATCTTTCCAGCTTGCCTGCTGATGCAGACAGAACTGAGGACTTTGAATATGAGGTAAGATCATATTCACACCACTTCACATTTCTTCATGAAGTTATGGTTGAGGCGTTTTGCATAACAAAGAAAAAATTAATTTATTACTGTGAGAACTATTTTGTCTATTATATATCTAAGGCAAGAGCTTTTAAATATTTGTTTCAGCTATTTGGCACTGGTATTTTAATTATATTGGAAAACATTTTTATAATACAAGCCTGAAAATAATTTGCTCACATTTTTGTTGCTTTATATAAATAATATTATGGCAGCTACATTTTTTTTTCTTCGTTTTGTAATGTAAGAGAATTTCCAAGTAGAGTTTGGAAAAGAAATTACATTTAAAACCGAGACTGTATTTACTATTTTCATTCATTGTGTAGTATTTTTATTTTAACTGATAAACTAAATCTGATATTATTTTTATTCCCTTTCACAAATTCAATTTTTTTTTTTAATGACTCAAGTACTCTAAAGAGCAGTTTCTGTGACTTTCTAGATTAAGAGATGACCATGTTTAGCCTTCACACGGTACATGTCAGAGTATCTGTACTGTGTTATGAAACAACTCCAAAAGCCCATCTATTAATTACTTAAAAGCTTTCACAAAAGTTAAAGAATTTATCCTAATATTTCCTCTGCTTCTGCAGTCTATAAATCTTTGAAAGGTTTCAGACTACTCTGACATTTGGAAATAAAGTAGATTGAGGAGGTAAAGAAGCTCTGGTAAACAGCCAGAGAACCTGTGATTATCTGCCCTTTTAATGCTTTCAATGATGTCATACAAGTTCAGCAAAATGTTCTTTTCCATTTTACAACCAGGAAATCCTGAAATCTCTTCCCTTAGGGGGATCTGAAATCAAATAAGGCCAATTCAGTGAAGCTCACCTAAAGCAAATAGATGTTTATTTGAAATCTTGCCCCTGCAAAAGTCATTGCTGGGGATTACAGAAATCATTATTTCTTTTCAGCCAGAATTTAGAAGGGTGTGCAATGATACCTAGTATCTGAGTTGATGGTTTTGTTGCTGTTGTTCGTGTTAATTTCTTATCCCCTCCTCTCCATTAATTTGATTGAAAATTTTATTTTATAAATCTGCTTAAGTACTGGTATACACTGAAATAGCCATTAAGTTTTTCCCATTCATGCAAAATAAATTACAAAGTTGAGTCACTTATCCAAATAATTCAAGATTAAATGATGTTTTTCTTTCAGTTAATTAATTGCTTTGGGTTTGGGGAATGGATTTTTCTAGATCACTTCAGCTTTTTGTTTCGTTTGTGCCTTAAAGCTTTATTAAAATACATCTGTGTGCTAGGGGAGGACTTGGGAGAAAGACTTGCTTAGGCTAAGCAGGTTCACAGTAAAAATTCTTTTAATTAATTAGCATATCTTTGACTATTACAATACAGACAGATTCTATAGTGATTACTATTGCTGAACTGCATCCTCTTTTCTGACCAATGTCAGTCCCTAGGAGAGACCAGCATCAGTGTGATGACAGTGGTAAATGCTCAGACAGGCCTTCTGTAGCCTGCAGCCTCTACTAATCACACCACCATGGTCATTGCTTTGCTGTCAGCTGTGATTCTCTTGCCAAAGTCACCTTTCTGAGTTATTGAAATAAAGAATATTCCCATGAAATTTAAATAAGGAAGAAGTTACTGTGACAGGCTTTGGTCTTGAGAAGGGATACATTTGAGAATATCTGCATGGCTAAAAGTAGGGGTGGAAGCACTGGGGAATACCCCAAGGATAACTGACCAAGCTTAGGAGAGAATGGCTCTACCCAGTACACCTCAGTCTGTTATGCTAACATGGCACAGTGTCACACGCCATCCCTCTTGTTTGCATCAGATGAGACTGTGAGCTCTAGTCAGTCCTCTGCTATCACCAGAGCTGACTGTGGACAGGGAGATTTAGAAATGCTGCCTTTACACAGTATTACACTTAGAAGCAGGCTGGTCAAGTGTTTCTGTGACAGGCTCAGATGACCCCATCTCCTCCAGGAACTCTGTTATAACCCAGTAGCTGTGGGGATGCAGTGGATGCAGTGGTCCTTCAGGAAGGACCTCTTTTGTGCCACTTAGAGAGTATTATGGAGAACAGAGGTCTAATGGCCAAACAGAGGACTTCATCTCAGAAAGAGGTACTCATTCCTCTTCAACCTAAACATGAAAACACATCAATAGGCAATCGGAAAAGTAGAGACAGGACTCCTTTCCATCTGCTTTCATTCAGTTGTACCATAAATATTTAATGAGCAGTTAAAAAAATATGCCAGGTTCTTATCTAAGTTTGGGATTGATGAAGCCTCTGCCCCAGTGGAGTTTAACCTTTAGGAGAAGGAGATGGACAAGAAACAAGTAAGTAAAGACATATTATATCAGATGGTGATTAACTGCTAGTGGACAACAAACGGTGTGGGTAACAGAGGAAGGAAGTGCATGGTGTTGGGATGAGGTGTTGCTCTCTTATACAGGGTGGTCAGGGAGGGCCTCTCTCATAAGAGACCTAAAGAGAGTAAAAGAGCTAGCCATGTGGATTCTGAGAGAGGAGCTTTCCAGACAGAGGGAAGGGCAAGTACAAAGGACCGGAAGTAGGACCACAGCTGGTGGGCTCCAGGAACAGCAGAGGCCGGTGTGCTCTGGGGGCAGAGGCAAGGGCGTCGGGCAGCGGTAGGAGGTGAACTCAGAATGAGTAGCTGGTGGAGAGCAGGGCTGGGTTCTGCAGCCCTCGTAAGATCCCTCTGCTGCTGAAATGAGCTTTAAGATGGGCATGCAGAGCCGCCAGCAGAGCCTCCAGCAGAGCAGTCGGAGGAGGGTGGGAGACTGGAAGCTGACTGGTGACAGAGGCAGGGGTAAGACATAGTCTGAAAGCACAGCATTCATCCTGGCCCGGAGGGCTTTGCCTGTGTGTCTGCACTTCCATTCCTCGCCTCGTAGTTTTAATATAGTTTGTGCTCGGGCGGGTTTTTTCTTCTGACTTTTCGAGGGCAAAATATCATAGGCCAGAGTGAAACTCAGCTTCTGGCATCCACTGGAATTAGCATAATAAATCTACTCTTAAAAGACAAAAAGAGTACAGAACTGAATTTCTGAACTTGCTGAAAAACAAACTGTGCAACTATATAGGCACCTTTTTAAAGGCCTACTTACTATTGACTCAGTGAACCAAAGGTGATCTGTCTATCTTGTGAATACACATTTAGGGACTTTTAGTGTGTGGATTATTGACCCAATAGACCAAAACAGATCTGACTATCTTGTAAAGACATATTTAGGGACTCTTTAACATGCAGATTATTGCATTGATAGATGGTAACAGCTCCCTTCAGAACCATGATAGACAGCAAATGCTTCTTTGGAGATATTATAGTCAATGTGTCAATGCTATGGTGACTCTGGTGTGTTAGGGACCACTGTGAAATTTTTATGACACCCATATCTCACCATGGCCTATCACCACTTTGCCTCAGAAAATTATTTGCCTGGGTTTTAAATCTCCCCCCAGTGCTTCAGAAAAGTCTCAGCAGACCAACCTGTATTAAAAGACTCACAGCTTGAAATTTGATCGTTTTAAACAATAATGGCACTGTTTTCTAATTAAAAATGTAAAGGATTTTAATTTCATTTTTGAAGGAAAAAATAAAAATATCAAAATTTACACAATGCAGCCATCATAAGAGTCAGGGTGCCAACTCTTACTTCCACTGAAATACTGAGGATTAAGCACTCCTTTTTCTGTATTTTCAACTTTGTTCTTTTTTTTTTTTCCTAGAGCCAGCTAAAGGTTGAAATAAATCATAAATAGCCTTTAGCAAGTCAGAGGCGGATCTCAAATCCGGCCTTTACCAGAAATAATTTAAAGGGAAAGCCTTTGAGAAAACAGAGCTCTTTTGTCCAACTCCTAATAAAGGTATGTTTGCTACTGCCGGAATGCAAGGAAGACGTTGAATTTTCTGCACCATTTGCCATCAACTCTCAAAACTCAGTGTTGATAGAGGACAGTCAGAAAATTAATAAGTACAACATTTGGATAGTATAAAACATCATGTTAGCCAAGACAAGCAAGTAATTTAAGCCACATTTCTGAGCTTGGTGATTTTTATCATTTAGAAATGCTGCTTGAAGTTGTTTTTATTCCTTCCCCTAAGATTAAGTTGAAGAAACATATCCAATAGCCTGAGTTAAGTGCACATAGAGTTTCCCTTGTGTGTACATTGTCATCACTATGAAAGAGGATTTAGAAGTTTGCTTGGAGAGGTATTAAAAGTAGAAAAGAGAGAAAGACAAGTATGTGTCAGAGTTCTATATAATGTTAACTGAAACCCAAACTTGGGCTAGTATCTACAAACAAGAAAGAGCATTTAGCATATTAATTAACTTCCTCTTGGCAATTCTTATGCAAAGCGTAAGTAAACCCTTGTGCTATGCTGAGAAGTGTCATTTTGCAAAATTTATTTCCCAGAGCTGGATTCCTGTGAATACGTGCAGAATATTTGTGAGAATTTAAGTATATAATCCCTCTTGTACATAGTTAAAGAAAAGAGAATTATGAATCAGGAAGATGTTCATTCAAAAGAGTAGTTAAGAGGATAAGCATTAGTGAGATTTTAATCATATCTTTTTGAGCAACTTCATGATTTGTGAGCCAACTTTCAGAAAAGTTTCCTTAGTGTGCACATATAGAGCTGTGTGGCTCCTTTCTAGGCTGTGAGGGCAGAGGCCTTACCTGTGTGTTCATCATTGCCTGATATCACCTGTCTCATAGCAGATGCTCAATATTTGATGCAGGAATATATGAGGATTCACATTATTGTCTGTATGGACCAACCTTTGAGCAGCACAATCCCTTTCCACCTTTTGCACAAGGGAATTGGAAAGGAGCTTGAGACCACCATGCAGTTATAACAGATATCCTCTCCCTTTCTAATAGCTATTTGTTCTTTTTTTCTTTTAAAGTTTGTACTGTTTTACTGACCTCTCCCTATTTACCTCACCCCTCTAGCCCCTGAA